TTCAGCATCAATAAAATTATTAATATTTGTAATATCATTTGTTTTAATTACAAATGAATATCTGCTAGATTTAACTTTTGTAATTTTTTTTTTTTCGTTTTGAGCATCTTTTTTTAAGTTTTCATATCTTTTTTGAAGAATATCATAGCGATTTTAAGATTTTTCTTGAAGAATATCATAGCGATTTTGAGCTTCTTGTTTTAAATTTTTATATTTTTCTTGAAATTCTTTTTGCTCTTTTTCTCTTTTTTCTCTTTCCTCTTCTAGTTTCATTTTTAATTCTTTATTTTCATTTTCTAATTTTTCATATTCTTTTTTTAAAACATATTTGGTTAGAATAGACCTATAAATTTAAAAATTAATAATAATAAATTTTTTAAAAAAAAATAACAAAAAACAAAATTACATTATTATAATAAAATAGTTGCGTTGAGATAAAACTAAAATATTTATTTTCAGTTTATTTTAATTTTATATTATATTTTATATTTTACAATAAGCTATATATAGAATTTTAATTAATTTTGTGTTATATAAAATCATAAAATAAAAATAAATTATATAAATAGATTTATTTTTATTTTTATTTTTTAAAAAAAATTTTTATTTTTACCTTTCTAAAAAAATGAATATTCTAAATTTAAAATCATTATATAAAATTTTTTTTAAAGAAAAAAAATGTAAAAAGTTTTTAATCAAACAAAAAATAATTCAACAACCTGAAAAATATCAATTTTGTCATGATGAAATATATTTGTATCTTAAAGAAAATATATTTAGATGCAGAAATACTAACTATAAAAAAATAGTTACAATCTTTAAAAAACTTAATTTTTTCCCAACATTGATTAAAATGTAATAATATTTTATTGATTGGTTATTACTGGATTCACAAACTTCGAATACTGCAAATTCACAATATAACTAAAATTGCATGATTAACTATACGTAGATTTATCACAAATTTTAGACAATTAGCTATTAATTCATTAAAAATAGAAGATACTATTATTGGTGGACCTGGGATTATAGTAGAATTAGATGAAAGCTTATTTGAAAATTTTTGGATTTTTGAAGGATTAGAGCGAACAAAAAAAAAAAAATACTTTTTTGTTGTAGTAGAAAATTGTAATACTGAAACTTTAACAAAACTTATTAAAAAACATGTAAAAATTGGTTTAACTATATATACCGATTGTTAAAAAGGATATCAAGGACTAGGAAAACTTAGATATAAACATTTAAGAGTAAATCATTCAAAACAGCTAATACAAAAACAAAGATTAAGAAAAATTCACACAAATTACATTGAAAATACTTGAAAATTACTTAAAAATTTTATTCCTAAATCAAAAAGAAGAAAAAATACTATTGAACCTTTAATAAAAGAATATATTTTTAGACAAAAATATAAAAAAAATATTTGGGAAAAAATTTTAAAATTACTTAAAAATAATTGATATTTTATTTCTTTTTCATTCATATTTCTAGTTAACTTATCGTGTGCTAATTTAAATTCGATTGCTTGTTGTTTTGCTTGTTCATAATTTCTAGTTTTTATAATTTGAATTTTTTATATTTTATTTTATTATTTTTTCTCTATTGAAATTTTCAAGCTTGATCATAATTATTAAAAGAGACTCCATTAAATCCTGAAGTATTTGTCTTAAATAATTTACAATTTAACATATTTTCTCTTGGTGTTGTTTCTCTAAGATTATATTTGTGATTATCAAATCCGCAACGATTAACTAAAAAATAAAAATATTAAAATAAATTTTATTTTAAATTTATTAATAAAATAAACTTACTATGATCAATTATTTTGTAATTTGGATAAACTATTTTATGAAATAAAATAGTTTGTTTTTTAATTTTTGTCATAATATAACAATACATATCATGTTTAGAAGATTTATAATAGCACTATGTATTTTTAATAAATCAAAATTATCAAGATTACAAAGAAATGTAATATTTGGTTTCTGTGTTTTGACTTCTAAATAAAGTATAAAATTGATCTTTATAAGATAATATTCATTTAGTTTGCATCTTGGTTTATCAGGATTTTTGTATTTTTCCCAATCTGTAATTATTTCAAAGTCTTTAAATTTTTCTTGCTAATTCATTTTTAATTTAAATAAAAAATAATCTATAAAAGCAGATCTTTTATAATTTTTATTTCTCCTGAGTCAAATTAACAAAAAATTTTTTTAAAAAAATGGATCAATTTTTAATTTATCATTCGATTACGAATTATATTTTTCATTTTATATTAAGTAAAAAAGATTTAAAAATTTATATTACAAAAAGAAATAAACAAAAACAAATTACTATCACACAAGTTAAATCTAGCAGATATTCATTTGTAATTAAAACAAATGATATTACAAATATTAATAATTTTATTGATGCTGAA